GTCAGAAGGACAGTGTCATATTATCTGTGTCCCCCAATATCAGGCAGCTAGCAAGGAGACAGATACTCAATGAATAGAGAAAAGAGAAAGATTGAGCATTGGACTTTGCCTCCGTCCCCGACACCAGGTGTGCTCCATTAAAATGATGCTGGGCAGGCTGCCCCATCCCAATTTCAGGCCAGTAATTCCAGACTACATCTCTTGGCCTAGTCCACTACCAGGCTGCCCCCAGTGACCCAAGGCCCCAGACCAACCGTCAGCTTCAGGCTCATCCCAACTCAGGCCCCAGGTTGGCCCCTGTAGCTCTAGGCCCAACTAAACACCAAGCAACCCCACATAGCCCCAGACTTTACAGTAGCCTTAGTTAGCACACAGACTTCCAGTACCAGCGCAGCCCCTGAAGCCTCATGCTCCAGACCAGCCCACGTTGCCCCAAACACCAGGCCTGACCCAGCATCAGGTTGGCACCTGTAGCCTCAGACACCAGACCAGCACCCACGGACACAGGCTCTAGGCCTGCCCTAGGAGTCTACATTCCAAGTTAGCCCCTGCAGCCCCACACTCCAGCAGACACAAAGTCCAGCCTCCTCTGGCAAACCCAAGATCCAGGCTCATCCCAGCAGAACCTAGTGCCAGGCCAGCCCCCAAGGCCAAATGACTCATACCTGCCTCAGTGGTCCAGCCTCCAGGCCAGAGGCTCGCCCAACCTCCATATAGACCCTCATGGGTCTAGGCACAAAGCAAGCACCCACAGACCCCAGCCTTCAGTGGACCCAGAGTCCAGGCTTACTTTAACAAACCAAGGCTCCAGGACCACCCCTCCAAACCCAAACTCCAGGCTAACCCTGGTAAACCCAGGACCCAGGCCTGACTCACAGGCTTTAGGCCCACCCCAGTGCCAAGCCAGGCCTGTGGACTCAGGCTCCAAGCCAGGCCCCATGGTCCCAGGTGCCAGGCCCATTCCAGCAACTGACTGCTGCAAATTCAAGTTCAAGGCTGGTCCCAGTGCCAGGTCAACTCCTGAGGAACCAGGCTTCAGACCAGCTCTTGTGGACTAGGCCCCTACTAGTCAATGGCTCTAACTCCACAGGGGGCCAGGTGGCACTGTGGACCCTGGATCTAAGTCTGCTCCAGCCAACTTGACGCACATTTGCCCCAGTAAATATAGTCTGCAGACCAAACCTCATGGACCCAGGCATAAGACCTGTGCACCTGCTGACCTAGGTATGACAGCCTGCCTGAAGACACCAACAGTAAGCCTGCCCACAGACCACACCAGAAAGCTAGCCAAATCTCTGGTCAAGTTAACTGGTAAAGAACTTTCCCAGCCAGAGCGAGTCTGAAAAGAGTGGAATAAGTTCCTACTTCTTCAAATCTGCAGGCACCAACACAAGGCAACAAGAATTACTATCAGAGAAACATATCACCACCAAAAGAACCAACATTAAAAAAAATTGAGGTTTAAGCCTGTAATCCCAGCACTTTGGGAGGCCGAGACGGGTGATCACGAGGTCAAGAGATCGAGACCATCTGGTCAACATGCTGAAACCCCGTCTCTACTAAAAATACAAAAAAATTAGCTGAACACGGTGGTGTGTGCCTGTAATCCCAGCTACTCTGGAGGCTGAGGCAGGAGAATTGCCTGAACCCAGGAGGCGGAGGTTGCAGTGAGCGGAGATCGCGCCATTGCACTCCAGCCTGGGTAACAAGAGCAAAACTCCATCTCAAAAAAAAAAAAATCAAGGTTTATGAGTTGCCTGACAAATAACTCAAAAAAATCATTTTTTTAAAAACTCTATGAACTACAAGAAAAATACAAATAGACAAGTATACAAAATCAGGAAAACAATAAACAAAATGGGAAGTTCAACAAAAAACAGAAACCATAAAAAAAAGAACCAAACTGAAATTCTAGAGCTAAAGAACACAATGACTGAACTAAAAAAATTCCAGAGAGCTTCAACAGTAGACTCAACAAACAAAAGAATCACTGGGCTTGAAAAGGGGTTACTTGAAGTGATCCAGTCAGAGGAACAAAAAGAATTAAAAAGAGTGAAGAAAGCCTTTGAGAATTATGTAATACCATCAAATAAACCAATTCATATATTGTGAGTATCCCAGAAGGAGCAGAGAAAGAAGAAAGTTTATTTTAAAAAATAGTAACAAAAACTCCCCAAATCTGTGGAAAGATAAAATAATATCCAAGTATAGGAAGCTCAAAGATCTCCAATCAGGTTCAAGGTAAACAAGACTACACTAAGATATATTATATCAAATTGTTAAAAATAAAAAACAGAAAGGATCTTGAAAGCAGCAAGAGAAAAGCATATCACATAAAAAGGAATTCCAAGATGGCTATGAACAGATTTCCCAGTATAAATCTTAGGAGCCAGGAGAGACAGGTATAATCTATTCAAAGCGCTGAAAGAAAACAGGCCGGTTACAGTGGCTCACACCTGTAACCCCAGCCCTTGGGGATGCCACAGCGAGCAGATCACCTGAGGTCAGGAGTTCAAGACCAGCCTGGACAACATGGCAAATCGCCATCTACTAAAATAACAAAAATTAGTCAAGCGTGGTGGCAGGTGCCTGTAATCCCAGCTACTCAGGAGGCTGAGGCAGGAGAATAGCCTGAACCGGGGAGGTGGAGGTTGCAGTGAGCAGAGATCAGGCCACTGCACTCTAGCCTGGGTGACAGAGTGAGACTCCATTTCAAAAAAGAAAGGAAGAAAGAAAACAAATCAATACTAAAACAACAGACTTTAACTACACTCTAGACCAAATAAACTGAAATACAGAACATTCCACCCAATAGCGGCAGAACACATATTCTTCTCAAAAGCACATGGAACTTTTTTCAGGATAGACCATATGTCAGACCACAAAATAAGGCTTCATAAACTTAAGAAGACTGAGATCATATTAAATATCTTTTCCAACCACAATGGTATTAAACTAGAAATCAGTAACAGGACAGATTTCGAAAAATCCACCAAAAAATTCTCAAAAAAATAAACCATGCTCATGAGCAACCAATAGACAAAAAAGAAATTAGAAGAGAAATTTAAAATATCTTGAGACAAATGAAAACAGACATACCACATACCAAAAGTTATGGGATGCAGCAAAAGCAGTTCAAAGAAGAAAGTTCACAGCAATAAATGTCTACATCAAAAAAGATTTCAAATAAATAACCTAACATTAAACCTCGAGAACTAGAAAAAGAACAAACAAAGCCCAAAGTTAGTAGAAGGAAGAAAATAATAAAGATCAGGACAGAAATAAATATAGACTAGGAAAACAATAAAGATTAATAAAACTAAGAGTTGTGTGTTTTTGGTTTGTTTTTTGGTTTTTGGTTTTCTTTGAGACAAGGTCCACTCTGTTGCCCAGGCTGGAGTTCAGTGGCACAATCTTAGCTCACTATAACTTCCACCTTCCAGACTCAAGCAATTATTCTCCCTCAGCCTCTCAAGTATCTGGGACTATAGACATGTCACCATGCCCGGCTGTAAGAGTTGGTTTTTTGAAAAGATAAACAAAATCAATGAAGCTAGACTAAGGAAAAAGAAGTCTCAAATAAATAAAACCAGAAATGAAAAGGGAAACATTTTAACTGGTATTACAAAAATATAAAGAATAAGAAATTACTATGAACAATTATATGCCAACAAATTGGATACCTTAGAAGAAACATACATTTCTAGATATATACAACTTACAAAAATTGAATCATAAAGAAACAAACTCTGAACAGATCAATAATGAGTACAGAGATTAAATCAGTAATAAAAGGTCTCCCAACAAAGGGAAGCCCAGAACTTGATGGCTTTACTGCTGAATTCTACCAAACATTTAAACGAAAATACCAATCCTTCTAGAGCTCTCCCTAAAAAAAAAGTAAAAGATGGAAAAATACATCTAAACTCATTTTATTAGGCCAGTATTACACTGCTCTCAATGCCAGACAAAGACACTGAAAAGAAAATTACAGGTCAATAATCCTGATCAACAAAGACACAAAATCCTCAAAAAAATACTAGCCAATCAAATTCAATACCACATTAGAAGAATCATTCACCATGATCAAGTGAGATTTATCTGTGGGTAACAAGGATGGTTCAACATGTGCAAATCAATAAATGATTCACCACATTAACAGAAAGAAAGGCAAAAACCATATGATCACTTGGATAGATGCAGAAAAGGTGCTTGATAAAATTCAACAACACATCATGTTAAAAACTCAAAAAACCTGCTATACAAGGAATGTACCTCAACACAATAAAGGCCATATATGACATGCCCACAACTAACATCATAATCAACAGTAAAAAGTTGAAAGCTTGTCCTCTTACATCAGGAACAAGACAAGGATGTGTACTCTCACCACCACTGTTCAACATAGCACTGGAAGTCCTGACCAGAGCCATTAGGCAAGACAGAAATAAAAGGCACCCAAACCTAAAAGGAAGTAAAATTGTCCCTGTTTGTAAACAGCATGATCCTTTACATAGAAAATTAGATAAAGGACCCTAAAGACTCCACCAAAAGAGTGCTAGAATAAATGCATAAAGTCAGAGGATACAAAATCAACATACAAAAATCAGCAGCATTTCTACACACTAACAAGAAACTATCCAAAGAAATAATGTGGAAAACAATACCATTTCCCATTTACAATAGCTACAAAAAAAAAAAGTTGGAAATAAATTTAACCAAGGAGGTGAAGCACTATACACTGAAAGCTATAAAACATTGATGAAAGAAATTGAAGAAGACAAATAAGTTAGTAAACCATTATATACTGCAATGACAGTGGTAAGAATTTACTCTAGGTTTTTATTTTTTGAGCTAGACATCTTAAGGCTTTTTAGTATTTTTCCTCTTACCTTCTGTTTCCATTCTCAGACTTCTTCAAAACTCATACTCTTAAATTTTGTCCATTTATGAAAACAAAATGAATAATAAAGTATAAAGAAATAAAAGTAAGAAACTACCTGAAGTCTTGCGAGTTGTGCAGTACGGGCAACTATCTTATTGTATGGATCAACAATTTTTGCTTTTATCCTAAATGAAAAAAAGAGAGGAGTGAGAAGAAAATCATTTTCAAAATATCAACAGATAAAAATCTTCTCATTCCATTTATTTACACAATTAAGAACAGTACCTATCAACAGCTCCCTGTAAAGCCCCAATTCTCATCTGCATCATCTGAAGAACACCTAGAAAAACATAACAGCTTACATTAGCTTTACAAATTTACAAGGCATCCAACTGGGTAAAAAGTTAAATTAAAAAAAAAACATATACATATATAATTTTAACTTTTACTGTCACTATCCTAATCCAAGCAACCAATATGTTTTACCCACACTGCTGTAAAAGCCTGTTACTGGTCTCCTGCTCCAATCTTTGCCTCACAAAAGAAGCCTGACAGGTTATGATTGGTTATGAACTGACTGCTTAATGGATATGGGGTTTCCATTTGGAGTAATGGAAAAGTTCTGGACCTAAATATTGAGGATGTTTGTACAACATTGTAAATGTAGTTAATGCCACTGAATTTTATATTTTAACAAGCTAAAAAACAATAAATTTTATGTTTGTATATTTTAATACATTACCAAAAAACTATGAGTGATCCTCCATGATATCCTCTTTGCCCCATCACTCCCATATTAAAACCACAGTCCACAGCTTATTTTATAACTCTCTAGGCTTACAACATGAGGAAATTTTCATAAAATCATAAAAATATTTACAGGAAGATCAAGCTTAAATTTTATTATTTAGGCTTTCTGTTAGTGCAGACATTTAGAATGCCATTCTTTAAAATTCAGTTTCTATATACAATTGGCATAGATGTTTTGAAAGCACAGTTTTGAAAGCACACTAATTCTATTAGTAATTAAATTTAAGTGTAGACATGTTGTATTTTAAATGAATATTAGAACCAATAAACATTCCTATCAGCATACAAGTATACAATAATACACTTCAGTCCAATAGAATCCTCTCTGAACCCAAGATTTCTACTTTTCTGCTGGTTTTGTGGTATATTCACCATAAACTGCCAAGAATAAACTGCCATTACTTATAATCATTTTCTTACATCATGTTCTCTCCACAACTCAGTTTCAATAGGTTTTCACCAAAACAGATCTCATCAAGATGACCAGAAATCTACAAGTTGTCAAATTCTATTGCTGGTTCTGTCTTAACCTTGTTCAAGTGCTCAGAAATTCACAGCAGCTGACTACTCCCTTTCTACAGCATTTTTTGTCTAGGCTTCCAAATCTTCACAGTTCCTGGGTTTCCTCTTATCTCATTGTTGTTCCCATTTCTCCTCTATCAGACCTCTACATGCTAGAGTACCCCAAGACGTGATTCTCAGATATGTGCTCTTCTCAATCTACAATCTTTCAGGGATTTCACTCAATCCCAAAGTTTTAAATAGTATCTGTTCAATAAAATACTGATTTTATAAACACACACACACACACACACACACACACACACCCCTATGTAAAAATATTTTCTTTGTATCTGCCTATGTTCTCATTTCCTCCCTGTCTCTCTGTCCTCTTTCTCTCTCTTCCCCTGTACTGTTACATCAAATTTAAGATACCCAAGACAGTTTATGCCCTACCAGCAACCCATCAAAAATCACACTTCTCTCTAGGCTTTGACATCTCAATTACTCATACCATCATCTATCCAATTTTTGAAACCAAAATCCTTGGAATCACTCATGGTGACTTTTTTCCATCAGCTCTTTCATCTCCCATCAACAAACCCTATCAGCTCTGCCTATTTTTTACTCCATCTGCCACAACTCTAATCCAAGGCACCATCAAATAGCTTCCAAACTAGTGTCCCTGATTCTACCCTTGCCTTTTTCTGTAGAGCTAACAGAGTAAACTATTCAGAGTATTAATCCCATCATACAATAACCTGATTAAACTCTTCCAATGTGTTTACCATTGCATTTAGAATTAAATCCAAATTCCTTCCCAAGAACTTTATCTATGATTCTCTCCCTCCTTCACTAAACTTCAGCCATTCTGGGCTACTTTCTGCCCCTCAAACATGCCAAGTTAATTTCTGCTTTCCCATTTATTGTTCCCTAGGCTAACCTAGTAAGTTTTTTCCTCAAATCTTTACATGATAGCTTCTTCTTATCACTTAGATCTTGGCTCAAATCTCACCTTCTCAAAAAGGCCTTCCCTCCCCTTCATCCATCCCATCACCCATTTTATTTTCTCTATAGAATTTACAAATAAAATTTTTCTGTTTTCTGAGATAGTCTTACTCTATTGCCCAGGCTGGAGTGCAGTGGTGTCACATCTCCGCTCACTACAACCTCTGCTTCCCAGGTTAAAGCGATTCTCATGACTCAGTATCCAGAATAAACTGGGATTACAGGCATGAATTACAAGCATAATCCACTATGCCCAGCCCTATTTTCTATCTTTTTTTTTTTTTTTTTTTAGCTCTCTCCTGGACCAGAACATAGTTCCAAAAGGACAATGACTTTGTCTATCATTCACACATGTCTAGTACTTAACAAGTTCTCAACTAATACTTGATTGCCTGAACAAATACATGAACGAAGCTACTACTTTTTAACAGAAAGAAGCTTAACAAATATTCCTCAAAAATTCCATGAGAACAGAAACTCTATTGCTATAGCTTTCTGAAACCTAGTAAATTCTCAAAGTAATATTTGGAAGAATTTTTTTTTAAAGAGAACATTTTAAAACAAAACAGGCTTAATAAACATATCTCCAAACTACTTACATGGTAAAAAAAAAATTTACAGATTTAGGGGAAAAAAGCAGATGAAGTAGAAGAGTAATAATCAATTTTTGTAATATATACATATATCACACTTATTTTTCAGCATCTCAAAATAATATTCTAGTAATAGACAGTAATAGACAGATACATCATGTTAAAATGAATACTAACCAATTCATACTTCATGTTTTTAATTTTAGTTATTTTTTGAGACAGGGTCTAGGGTCATGCTCTGTCACCTAGGCTGGAGGGCAGGGACATGATCACAGCTGACCACAGCCTCAACCTCCTGGGCTCAAGGCATCCTCCTATATCAGCCTCCCAAGCAGCTGGGACTAGAAACATGTACTGCCATGCCAAGTTAACTTTTTTATTTTTCACAGAGACAGTCTCACTATGTTGCTCAGGCTGGTCTTGAACTCTGGGCTCAAGTGAACCTCCCACCTTGGCCTCCCAGAGTGCTGGGATTACAGGTGTGAGCCACTGCACCCTGGCCTACACTTCAATCTTTCATTTTTAAATAATTTAGTGAATATTCTGAGATGATCATAGGAATAGCCAGCCTTTGAATGCTACACACTCATACAAAAGATAATCACTGCAATTCAGTCTAGCAGTATATTTCAAATATTTCCATCTTTGAAGATCATTCTGGGAAAACAAGCATTCTGTTGTGGTGATTTATCTAGACCTACACACACTCAATGTACTACCATGCCATCCTTATAAATTGTTATAAATAAAAAAGTAGCATGTTTTAAAACTTGCCATTAAAATATTACTTGCTCTCAGAAATGCATAAAAATATTATGAGATTTAAAAACAATTAAAACTAATGAGCTTCTGCACAGCCAAATAAACTATAAACAATAAAGAGATAACCTACAGAATGGGTGAAATATTCGCAAACTATGCATCTGACAAAGGTCTCATATCCAGAATTTAACAGAAACTTAAACAATTCAACAAGCAAAAACACAACTCCATTAAAAAGTGGGCAAAAGACATCAAGAGACACTTCTCAAAAGATGGCACACATGCAGGCACAAACACATAAAAAAAATGCTCAGCATCACCAATCATCAGAGAAATGCAAATCAAAACCATAATGAGATACCATCTCACACCATTCAGAATGACTATTGTTAAAAAGTCAAAAAAAAAACAGATGCTCGTGAGTCTGCTAAGAAAAGGGTATGCTTAATGTTCATGGTGGGAAACTACAGTCACCGTGGGAAGCAGTTTGGTGATTTCTCAAATAACTCAGAACCACCATTTGACCCAGCAATCTTACTAGATATACATTCAAAAGAAAATAAATTTTTCTACCAAAATGACACATGCATTTATTTATGCATTTATGCATTTATACAGCACTATTCACAATAGCAAAGACATAGAATCAACCTAGGTACCTGTAAAGAGTGAATTAGATTAAAAAAACATGGTACATATATACCATGGATACTACACAGCCACAAAAAAAGAAATAAAATCATGTCCTATTCAGCAACATGGATAGAAGTGAAGGTCATTACCATAAACAAATTGAGACAGGACGAGAAAATCAAATACTGTACAGCCTCACTTATAAGTGGGAGTTAAACATGGGGTACTCATAGACCTGAAGATGACAACAACAGACATCAGGGACTACTGGAGGAGGGAGTACTTAACTGTTGGGTACTATGCATACTACCTGGGTGACAGATTATTTGTACCCCAAATCTCAGCGTTATGCAATATTCTCAGGTACAAACATACATATACATCCACTGAATCTAAAATAAAAGTTGAATTAACGATAACAATAATTTTATTTCCAGTACTAAGTCAACCAATACTTAGAGCTTCTTAAATTTCCCAAGAACCTAGTCAGGTATCTATCCCAGATTTCAAATAACAAACTACTAATTCCAGAAATACTAAGTTCTTCATCAGAATATGTTAGAAATATTGCACATGCTGAGAATAAGTTAATATCTTTAAGTACATGAGAAATACTGGGGAAGCACTAAAGAATACTGCATCACAGAAAACAATATGCTCTCTCAAGAATTTCATCAACATAGGGAAAAATCACTTACGTTTCTTTTGATGTACAATGATTAATAATAGTAATCATAAGTAATACTGTAAAACACAATAGTAACATTTCATACTTATGAGATGTAGTTTAATCAAGAGGGAATTAAAAATTCATAAAAGATTTAACCCAACAAAAATAAGCAGATTTGTAAAAATAAGCAGATTTATAAAAATAAAAATCCAATTATATATAGTTTGACTATACTTTCACTAAAAAGAATTGCCAAAAAAGGCTCCAAGAAAGGCAAAAACAAGAAAAAAATTCAAGCCTCCTTCCACTACTACCCACTCTGGTATTGCTGACATTTTTGTTTTAATTAACTAACACAGGTGCACTAAATATGTGCAGGCATTGTTCTAAGTATCTTGCTAACTCATTTAAACGCTACGTTAGTACATATTATACTCCTGTTTTACATATAGGAAAACTTAGCCACTGAAGGGTTAACTAACTTGCCTAAAGTCAAACATCTAGAGAGCAGTAAAACAAGGATTTGAACCCAGATCATTTAGCTCGGGAGCCAGCAAAGTTTTACTGTAACATAGCCACACACATTTTTTTTTCATATTATCTGGCTGCTTACACTCTACAATGGCAGAGTTTAGTAGCTGCAACAGAGACTGTATGGCTGGCAAAGTCTAAAATATTTGCCATCCAAAGTAGTTTGCCAAAGCTTGCCAATCCCTGATCTACCTCTAGAAATATACCTTCCAACGACTCAATCCCAGTTGCTTGTGCCAGTAAATCTTCATGTCTTGCAACAACCTAAAAAGCAAAAATAAATGATTAGCTTTTGCTCTGTTAGGTACCTTTCCTTGTAACCACAATGTAGAATTGAAGGTCACTCTTGGTGTAGAAATAGGGCAAATACAAATGCAAAAGAAAACAAAACACAGGTTATTATGGTGTGTTTGAGATGGGTTATAAGCAGAAACACACATACATTTACAGTTCAACACAGATCAAGAGGAGATAAAGCCTTTTCTTAGCCCTGCCTTAATCTGTTTGGACTGCAGACACGAAATACCTTAAACTGGGTAATACACAAACCAAAGAAATTTATTGCTCACAGTTCCAGGGGTTGGGAAGTCCAACATCAAGGCACCAACAAATTCAGCATCTGGTGAGAACCCATTCCTCATAGATGGTACCTTGTATCTATCTTCACATGGCGGAAGGGGCAAGCAAGCTTCCTTGGGCCTCTTTTAGAAGGGCATTAATCATCTCCCAGAGCCCCCAACTCTTAATACTATTAAATTGGAAATTAAGTTAAGTTTCAACATATGAATGTCAGGGGAACACAAACATTCAGACCGTAACAAGCCGCTGGCTATCTTAATGAGATGTGCAAGTGGAGTTATGCCAAAAAATGTAAAAAAACAGCTCACTGTTGCCATACCATTATTACGTTTTCCCTTTAAAGATTATTTTCAAACATCAGGTTCTCTTTGCTGTTGAATTTGATTCAGCACCACCAAGGCCACATCCCAATCTGGAAAGATACAGCACTCAGTGCTCACCTATACCTGAACATCTCTCTGCTTCCAGTTTCCCAGTGTCACACCCCCACAGCAAATCTTTTTCCCTATAGAAGTTTGATACTTTTATGAAAATTAGGGTACTGGAGATAGCCAGAACAAAAAACGAAAAAGGTTAAAAGTTAAAGGGCACATGCGAGAGATTCCTAGAAACATCACAAAATCATGCAAATCTTTAGAATAATGCAGGAATCCTTATTATTTCATGCCTTTTATTCCAATGAATATGAGGTTTCATGTTTAGTCTTGTGACTGAAGTTCTTAATCACCAAAGATTAATTCACTGGAACCCATAAATCCTCTACTTTGTCCTGTTTCAGATATCACTGTCATTCTGTCAAGTCTCTTTCTATCATATCTACCTAGAGTATTATTCTTGGTCACCTCGGTCTTTTTTTGTAAGGTTGCCAGAAGATGTCTGAATTTTCCCGTCTACTAATATGGTTATCAATATGTCCATCTTAACAAGACTAATTTTTTTTTAAATTCTCTATTCTCCTTTATCACTTGTAATACTTTGGTGAGGTTAAAAAGCCTAAAACTATAGTTTCATAGACTCCGTTGCAACCGATTAAATGATTTTTCCAAGAGTTGTGGAAGACAAAAGAGAGGAAAGCTGGACAAGGCAAGGTGGCTCATGCCTGTAATTCCAGCACTTTGGGAAGCCAAGTCAGGTGGATCATTTGAGGTCAGGCATTCAAGACCAGCCTGGCCAACATGATGAAACCCTGTCTCTACTAAAAATACAAAAAAATTAACCACACATGGTGGCTCATGCTTGTAGTCCCAGCTACTCAGGAGGCTGAGGCAGGAGAATCACTTGACCGGGAAGGCAGAGGTTGCAGTGAGCTGATCGCACCACTGTACTCCAGCCTGGATGACAAAGTAACACTGTCTCAAAAAAGGGAGGGGGAGGGAGGGGGGGGAGGGGAGAGAGAGAGAGAGAGAGAGAGAGAGAGCGAGAGAGAGAGAGAGAGAGAGAGAGAGAGAGAGAGAGAGAGAGAGAGAGAGAGAGAGAGAGAGAGAAGTTTTCTGTTTCAGCTGGTAATAAAGATCCTGAGACCTGAGAATTTAGAAATAGTTAAGAGAACCACATTGATCACACCAGCATTTAGTCATTAGGTATCTGGAAGCAGAATTTTAGCTCTGGCATGGGTGGTAAGAGAAGGTACTTCCAGGCCTCTGTATTGCATCTGTGGTAGTTCCTTTCACTCTGTCCACTAGCTATTCACCCAACAATTTTATAAGCATCCAAACTCCCTGTATAAAGTGTCTTTCTGCTCTAAATACTTAGAGTGATTTCTAGTTCCTGTGCTAAACCCTAACAGAAAATCTTTTAGTTTAGTCATCTCACTGTTACAGACTACTGAGACTTCCTCTATCTCACATCCTAGGCTACTATAACTTCTCTCCTCTAAGAAATGGTAAATACATTGTACGTTCTTATTGATTTTTGCAGAGAAGATACTGCATACAAGGAATAAGGAAAATAACATGCATAAAAGGACTGAAAGAATTTCAGGTGGCTCTTGCAAAAAGCCATTCCCTCAGAACTCTAGGCAGAACTGAGTACATTCTCCCATGCTCCCATAAACAACTTATACTAATCTATTTAAAACAGGCCTCATTTGCCTGCCATTATTTCTGTCTATGTCTGCCACTGGTCTGTGGGTCCTTGGAGAGCCAAGAAACGTATTCTATTTATTTGGCTATCCCCACAGTCTACCCGAAAGCTTCACAATTAAATGTGTTTTCTAAACATCTGTCAATAAAGATTGAAATCAAATTATATATAATCAGATGTTTAAAATAAAATGACATCATCCCAGTCCTCTCTAAGCCACTCGAAGAAACTAAGACACAAAAAAAATCAAGTTGTTATGTCTCAGGTTATACCAAATCTATGTTTCCTGGTAAACGATCTGTTTCAAACATTGTTCACCTACTCAATCAAAGGCAACACTAGAAATTATGTCAAAAAATCACCCTATAAAAATTACAGAATTTTAGGAGAGGAAGGAATCTTCAAAGTTATCTACTACGATCACCTCTCCCTCTTGCTTATTTCAACCCATCTGATAGACGAAAAAACAAACAAAAAAGCAAGACTCAAAGACACTAAGTGATATTAAAGTCAGTTAACAGCATAGTTGAAATTAGGACCCATCTCCTAACTTTTCATAGTATATCCTACTCACAGTAACACTTATCAACTTTCTGTAATTTCAGCAAATGCTACACTCTGCGTATAAACTATGATTTGCCAATATAACATCCCAATTATTCTTATTCATATTAATTCCAAAATTCCATTTTCCATTATGTTTATCAAACACATCCTATTTTTTGCCCACTATATTTGTAGCACATCAATTAAGTTGGTGAACAGGAAGTATAAATGAAAGGCTTTGGTGACGTGGTATATTAGTTTTTCAACAAAAAGGGTTTACAGAAAACTTCAAATATTTACTTTGAAAAATAAGTCACACTGGTAAGGATGCACTTGTTCATGTCAATATGCATTTATATTTAATAAGATTACAAAAATGCTAAATTATGACTTTAGGCTGAATAATCCATAGGGACCCTGAAGATCAGAATTACCTGTAAATGTAGTTCTTTGTCCAACTGACTGATTCCTTGGGCAAGTTTTGCTAGTTGTTCAGCAATTACAGCTTGATGAATAGATTGAGAAGTATAAGTCTTTACATCAAAGTCTTCGTTTAAAAAGTCACTATAACACTCTGGATTGGGGGAAAAATAAGGAACAGTCCGTAAATACCCTATACTAAACCAATTATTAAACAGAAAAATTATAATTAACACATTTTAATCTCATACTCTGAACCACTCCACTATACTGCTTAATGCTTAATTTTTATCATGACTCAAAAGGAAGTACAACATTAAGAGATTAAAAACATAACTACAAGCTATAACTACTAATTGAAGAAGATCATTGTCAGCGAAAAAACAGGAAAATTGGCTATATATATAATATTAATGGCCTCAGATATCTCTAGATCAATGCATAAATACTTACAGCAAAGTGAACCTGGAATTTTAATAACAATAGGAAGCACAGATTTATAGGTGTAACTGAAATTTAGGATTTATGGGTAAAGTATGTTAATGGAAAGAAAAGCCGTTTAAAATAGGCCCCTAATAGATGGGAAACAGAAGTAATGCTAGACGTTAAAAAGATATCCCTCAATATAGAAATCCACATATCTATGGATGAAAGATAAATTAAGAGAATTAAAAGATAAAAATAGATACCCAGAAACAATGAAAGAAAGAAAAGAAAAAAACAATAGATACCCAGAAGTAATAAGCTCAAGGTAACTACCTACCAAATCTCCTGACACAGTAGATACAAGTAAGACTGCCCTGAGAGAGATTATGAAACAAGCAAAATAGAGTACTTATAAGAAAACCTAAATTATCTATATCCTCTATAATGTATGCTCCGTGAAGGGAAAAAGGTCTTTGGTTTACTACCTCATCTCCAGTGGCAGGTTCCATGAATTAACTAACCTATACATCAGCTGATAGTATCATTCTGGTAACAACCACCACAACAATAAAAGTAAAACCTCATACTCTTGATTACTCTCAAAATGTAGTGGAATGAAAAAAGGAAACTGCTACTTTGACTACTTTTAATTCTGAGAACCACATTTCCTTCTAGTTTGCAAGTGCTTCTCATAATTAAGGATCCTGTCAGCCAGACAAATGAAGAAAGCCATTCCAGGCAAAAGGAAGGTTTAGCAGTAGCAAATGCCATGGCATATTTTGAGAAATAAGGAATACTGACTTCAGTGTGTCTAGATCATAGCACATGTATACTGGGCAGAAATGGTAAAGAAGGACAGATGTGGTTCCAAAGGTTGGAGGGCAGTTTGAAAAGTGGTTTATAAGATACTCAAAATGTTTAACCATATCTCATTTAACTCAAGAAACTGCACTATCAGCTTTGTGTTCCAGAACAATAATCCTAGCAGCAGTATAGAGGGTGGAAAAGGGATTAGTCACACAGCAATGTGCTCAAGTTGCCTCTTACTGACTCTTGAGCGCCAACTATCACATTCTCGGCAATTCTGTGAGCCAGTTGACCTTTCACATAGGTATCTTAAAATCCATGACAGAGTATTTACACCATGGCAATCAGCACACACTACAAAATCAGGGCCTTTTCTATTTTCACACAAAGCCAATTTACCAGTATACCCAAGAAATGGAACCACAGAGGCCAGTAAAGTACTATGTTAACAGCCTGAGTGACATAATGAAAGCCTGAATAAGACAGTGGCACTAAGAATGTCAAAGTGACAAATTTGACAAACATTCACATTGTACAGGATGTAGGACTTAGCTGAAAATGGGTGATTAGGTAGAACAAATAAGGATGATTCCCAAATTTCTTGATTAGGTAGCTGATATAGGAAATTTAGTTTTACATTAAGTTAGACAACTTGGCACTGAATATTCAAAGACAAACATGAACAAACCTCCACCTCCAAGGAATTCATAATTTAAGAGGGGAAGAAACACACATTTATCTAGCAACATAGTAAACACAGATAACAGAATATCATAGGAAAAAATAATGAGAGAAAATAGAAAAAAGAATTCATTTTTTCATATCTAGAACTTGTACTATTTGTTCATATGTAGCTTTTCATGTGTATTATAGAACTAGCAATGCTTGTTTACTGTCAAAATAGGAATGTCCATACAGGTTATGGAACAGAATATCATAAAAATTATTAAGATAGAAATGTCCAGTAGGCAGTTAAAAATATAGTTTTATAGTTCAGAAGACAGGTAAGGATCATACTGAAACCACAGAAAAGACCAGATAATTTAGGGAAAAAAAGTTTTAGAATGCACAAAAAGGAAAATGAGAAAGACAGGAAAGTTGGGGGTGAACAGAGAAAATGAAAGCTATCAGAGACTAAAGAGTGCTCAGGGATAAAGAGAAACAAAAAGGAATGGCAAAAGCCAAAAGAAGGGATAGCTTAAACAAAGTAAGTGGTAGTAGTGTCATAGAGCTTTCAAAGATCAAACACAACGAAAGTTGAATACTGGCCATGGGATGTGGCATTTGGGGACTAACAGCCCTTAAAGAGATGAAATACATAACGTAGTTTCCCCATTCCCATAGGAGGCACACCAGAAACACCTCACCAATTTTCATACCATGCACCTGTGCTCACCAAGCCTATCAAATGGATACTCTGTCACTGGCCAAATCCCGGATATAGTAAATCAGTTTCTGTTGGAAATACTTAATTCCTCAGGAACGTTAAGGGTGGGACGGGCAAAAGAGACCACTTAATTCAGGACAAACTGAACTGACAAGTATCTACAGGAAACTGGCAAAGAGCACTTAAGAGAATCAAGAATTTTTAAAACGCACGGCACCCATAAACCACATGAGGAAAATATTTCAAGAAAGGAAGCAAATGCTATTACAAGTTAAAGGTAAGGACCAAAAAAGTGTCCATCTGTTGTAACCGCAAGAAAGTCATTGGAAACCCTGCAAAGTTATTTCAATGACATAGATTGAGGATAACTGAGTCCCTCGGAAACTGGAAGAAAAAACCCGGAGCAAAGGAGAGACTCTCCTTAGAAATGAGCAGAGACTCCATTTCTCTTGTAATTGAAAAGGCAAGGGAAAGAAGGAGCAAGGGATGGTTACAGGTTGATGTTAAAATTATAGGTTTGATGGGCAACAAATGGAGAAAGTTCACATCTGATGGATCTTTTTTTTAACCCCAGGGAAGCAGAAAGTCATTTGTTGAGCTTGAAGGGAGAGGTTTGAAAATGGTAAGGAATATTTAAATAATTACTGTGGAGAATAGCAGAGAACCAAGAAGAAAAATGCACAAGGCAGAATTGAAAACTATGTACCCTCCAAGAACTGATTACAATTCCTGAAATGCATCCTACTGAAACATATATCCACTGTTCACCTGGGGAAGTCCTTTCTACACTTTAAAACAACTCTACCTAGAAAGCCTTTTCTGACATTTCCTAACCAGTTCCCAACCCCCAGTTATCATTCTCCTCTGTATTAATGCTCTACTTTATACACAATCCTACTGCTATCTTACATCACTATATTACAGCACCTACCTTTACAGTTCTACTTATTTCCTCTACTAGATGGTGAACTACTTGAGGGCAAGAATTGCACATATATCAGGAACAGCTGCAAATTTATTAGGGTCTCTGCCTTGTATCTTAATTTAAATTCAATTTTTGGTTAAACCTGAACGTTACACCCCTTTGTCAACGTTAAAAACGTTTAACCAAGTTTTTGGTTAAACTGAATTTAAATTAACATACAAGGATGGATTGACAGATACCCTTACCTAGAGTTTCTAACACAAAATAGTTCAGAAACAACATCAATTAGTTTTGGCTAAAGTACATAAGTTATCATGAGAAGACATGTAATTCAGGACGACAATAAAATATTCAACAGTCAGAGAAAATAAACAGTAATTTAGAACTTTACAGCATTATTATCCACTTGGGTCTTCAAATGTGTGCATGTGCTTCTAACTGCAACGTTCATTTTAAAAAACATTCTGCACCTATTGTATGCAAGATATTGCTATTCACATTGTGGGATATATTTTTAAAAGATCACAATATAGAAAAGATTAATACAAGTATACAAATGATTTCAGTACAAGGTAGAATGCGATGACCACTCGAGAAAAAATTAAAAACAGGTGAGAAGGATTTTATGTTTATGCTTATAAATTTGAACTTTATTCTGAAGGATAAGAGATTCGGGACACAGTAACTGGACTGACAACTGAGTATGCTTTTCAAGTATATTTAACTTTTATTGTGGGCAACTTCTCTCCAAAATAGCAATAAATCTGACTGCTAGATTCTGTATAAATTGTTAATCCCAATCTGAATCAATGCCCTGAAACTTCCCCCATGTCTCATTGTGGATAACTGCCTCATAAAAAGAACGAGGGGCGGGGAAAGCCTGAGAGAAGGGTCACCTGTATAGTTCATTTGTTAAGAGTGGGCTTTTCCAGTTTTACTTTAAAACAAGCCCCTATTTCATTATGCGTCTTTCGTCTGTTCTAGATACTTTTGAAGAGCTCGAACGCTACACCCCTTCGTCAAGAACTGCTGTAGCAGCTGGTGGCTGCCAACGCGGGCCACAGGGTTTAAGGCTCCCGAAACTTCTGGGAAGCTGGAGGCATGGGGCGGGGTCGAGTTGAAATGCGAAGCAAACAAAAACCAGGTGTCCCCAAAACACTGTAAAACAGGGAGCAAGTCCCAGAGGAAACAGGTTGGCTAGAACAGTACCCACAACTGGAGGCCAGACGGAGGGGAGTGGTCACGTCCAGACTGGAAAACTTTCTGCAAAGCAACGGGTTGGGTCCACCTTGCTGCCCAGGTGCGGAGCAGAGCAGCCTCGCAGCCCCACCACCAGGTCGGACCCCGTCTCCTTACCGTCCTGCAGAAGTTCTCGGACTGTCGCTGCAGCCACTCCGGAGCCTCGAGCCCCGAGGCCAGCCACAGCGACGTTACCGTCGCCACCTTCCATGTTGGCAGGTGCCGGGTTGATGTCGTCAGCAACCGAACGGCCCCGCCCAGGTGGTGACGCAGAATATCTGCGCCGCCCGCCTAGCCAACTCGTGGTTCTATGCCGGCCTGGCGAACTGATTTTGAGGCTGCGACTAGGCCAATCCTGGCTAGGAGCCGTGTGGGTACTCGAGCATTGGGCGACTCCCAGGGTCCCAGCGCTCTGCGCCCAGCGCACCGAGGGAGCCAAGGCCGTCCGGCCGGCGCTTTCTGCAGCAGCCTGTTTCCGGGCGGAGGAGAAGGGGGCGCCGGAACGTGGCCGCAGCGCTTATCTGTGAAGCAAGTATTAAACCACAGAACAGGGTCCGCGCGGTGTAAGGCAGGAGAGCAGACCAGGGCTTTCAGGGAGCTTCGTTTGCCCTCCACACTCACAGGAGTCAGGAGTTAGTTGCTAGATAGCTTTATCTGTCCCACGCCTTGATCGGCACTCCTGGGGTAATAAAAGCCCGCAGGAAATGCTTAGGAAGAAAAATTTCTGAGGATGAACAGTGAAGAGAATTAGGGAGAGTCGACGAAGAATGAAGACTAAACCATAAAAGGACAAATAAAACTCACTGTCTCTACCCTCCTTCCTTCCCACGAGACGTTTGACCTTTTGCCTTTTCTACCTCTTCCTCTCAGTTTGAGCCACGTGCCAGACTTTTTCTTAATTGCAAACTGGTGGGTTGCCCATATCTCACTTAACATTATTGACGCTGTGAGAGCATCAGGTTGGTTCCCACTGTATCTTCTCTGCTAATACATCCGCATTTTCGACTTAGATTTCTTTCTTCTAAGATAAATACTGATAAATTAACAGCATCAGTCAACCACAACTATGCAATAAAGTCTTAAGCTTCTAAGCAAAAAGAAGCTGTAATATGACTTTCCGTTTGTACAATAGGTATGTATCCAGGAAACCAATTTTGTCCAATTCCAGAGCTGCGTGATTTTCTAGGTTCTGTTTCAAAAAGGTCGTATTACTTATCCTGTGCTTAACGCTGTTCTAAGTATTTTATAAATCTAAATGCATTTCATAATCATAACACCGCAGGTAAGCAAGTCTTATGCTACACTGCATTATGCTCTCTGGACTTTGTCTCAGGATTTTCCCTAGTATGTTAAATCTCAGTCATGATGGGAATAGGAGTGATTCATTCATTGTCTGTGAATTAGGGATTGTTTTTCCTCCCTTGGCTTTTTTATTCCCCACAGTGGAAGATTTAGAAGAGTGATAATAATTGATAGAGCCAAAGTTTGACACTCCCCCGCCACTCCACATACTCACATGAGCTTACAAATACAAGGCTCAATCCATATTGTAAAAGGAGCCAATAAGTAAGTTAGAAACCTGTTTAAACAAACAGTTGTACCAGGTGCTATGGAATCTTTGGATTTACCTACTCCAGTAGTTCCAAGCTTATCTGCACATTGAAATCACCTGAAGAGCTTTAAACAAAACACTGATGCCTGGACCTGAGCCCAGGGATTTGGGTTTAATTGGTCTAGGGTATGGCTTGGACATCCTGATTCTTAAAAGCTCCTCAGGTTATTGTAATGCACAACTAAAGTTGAAAGCTACTGATGGTTTTGTTTTGTTGATATGGGGTCTAGCTCTGTCACCCAGGCTGGAGTGCAGATCATGGCTCACTGCAGTCTCAACCTCCTGGGCTCCAGGGATCCTCCTGCCTAAGCTTCTGGAGTAGCTGGGACCACAAGCAGGAGCTGCCAAGCCCAGCTAGTTTTTATGTTTTTTTATAGGGATGGGGGTCTCACTATATCGCCCAAGCTGGTCTTGATCTCCTGGCCTTAAGCAAGCCTCCCAAAATGCCGGGTTTCTAGGTATGAGCCCAACCCCCCTGAAAGCTACTGATTTATTATTTCAGCAACTAAATATTGAGAGAGGCCTTCTGTATGCCATTTACTATGACTGAAAGAGTGGATAAAAATAAAATCTTGTTAAAATCACTAATGACCTTGTTGCCATTGCACACCCTGTATTTGCCTTACTTCTCTGTGACGTTTAAGATACCTGTCCTCTCCTTCCTTCGTGATAGTCTCTCTCTTGGTTTCTGAGTATCACACTTTAGGTTTATTCCTCCCGGCTCCAAAGTTCATCTTCAGTCTCTTTTTCTCTCCCCTTTTCCTGTGTTACTTAAATACTGGTGCTTTCAGCAGTTTCTTGCAAGATCTTGACATTTTTAAGTACCTTGGCTGTTTTTAGTTTCAACTCCTTGCCTAAAGGTTAAAGACTCGAAAGTTTGAGCAATTACACCATTCTAAGGTTGCCCCTTATCTGATTCTTATTTTTTTATTTTTTTCTGCTTCATTTTTCCTTCAGACATACCTGCTTCTTTTTACTAAGTTACTAAGGCCAAAAACTGGAATATGAAAAGTAGCCAACACGGTGAAATGGCAGGATTTTAACTATAGCAAATATAAAACATTCATAAATGCTATAATTTCATCACTTGTTTCTGTGCCTCTTGGGGTATAAAAATTTACAATGCAATTATAGGATTATAATTGAAATTTTCACTAGATAATTTCACATTAAAATTTTTAAAAATAAGTTATCTTCTGATTCACAATTAGAACAGGATTCAAGAATTAGAATAAAAACATCAGGATATCTTTTGAAACACTGACTAGTTAGAGTTGCTCTATAAATGCCATTTAACTTTCCTGAATAAAACAAGATATTTCAAAATGCCAATCATATAGAGTATTATATATAAAATAATTCAAACCAATTTTCTTGATTTACCTATCCCAACAAAGTAATGTGAAAAATTTTTAAATAACATGAAAACTTACAACATGGTAAACTAGGAAAAAAAATCTTGTTTTCTACATCTTGTTTTTCACCACTATTTGTGTAGTTTTCCACATTTATTTATCTTACAAATAGAGGCAGCATTCTATAGCATCATATTGGCTACTGTGAAAAGAAGCTATTAATAAAAAAATTTCTGACCTCACAAGCCTGATGAAAAATATATGTTGTTGGTAGTGGAAATTGTTAGAATGGAATTAACATAGTGAAAGCATATTTTCTCTATACAAGCTTACTGTCTTTTTCAGATTTGAAACAGATCTGTACTAATGAAGAGTAACTGCATACAAACCACAATATGTCAAGAAAGAAAAAAAGATCCCATAGAAATGTTTCATTCTGGACAGCTGGTAAAAGTCTGTGCACCGATGGTTCGATATTCAAAGTGAGTATTCCTAAATGGTTAATGAATGAAGATGAAATTTCCCTTTTATCCTCTGACTTTTTTAAAGTATTGTAAGACCACCCACCAAATGGGATCTTCAAACTCCTAGCAGTGGAATTATGATTTAGAATTGAGTCATGATGCTACTACTTGCCTAGTATATATGTGACCCTGAGTAACTATTGACTTCTCTGAGCTGCACTTTTTGTATCCATAAAAATGGTGGTGGTTGTAACTCCACCACCTGTATACTTACCTGTAAGTATATAGTGGATATTAAATAGATATAAGCATTGATGTATAGATTTTTATGTGAACTTAAGTCTTCGGACAAATAGGAGTACAGTTGCTAGGTCCTGTAGTAGTTGTGTGTTCAGTTTTTGAAGAGATGTTTCTTTGTATCTTTGCTCATCTTCTGATTGGATTGTTTGCGATTTTACTATTGGGTTGTTTTTTTAAAAAAAATTTGTTATATACATAACATAGATTTTATCCCACAATCATTGTTAAGAGTGCAGTTCAGTAGTGTTAAGTACATTCACATTGTTGTGCATCTGATCTCTAAAACTCTTCTCATCTTAGAAGATGGAAATTCTATCCACAATAAACCATAACTCCCCATTCCACTGTTCCCCGCAGCAGCCCCTGGCAACCATTATTCTACTTTCTCCCTCTATGAATTTTACTACTCTGGGTACCTCATATAAGTCTTATCATACAGTGTTTGTTCAAAACTACATTTATTTTGCAAATACTTTGTGCAGCGTAACATCCTCAAGGTTCATTTACATTGTAGCATATATCAGACTGTCCTTCCTTTTTTTTAAGGTTGAATAATACTCCATTGTATATATGTTTTGTTTATCCATTCATCTGTTGATAACCATTCATCTGTTTATAGAACACAAGATAATTTCCGCCTTTTGGCTATTGCAAATAATACCGTCATGAACCATGGGTATACAAATACTCATATACAAATACCCATGGTTCACAACAGGTCTCTGAGACCCTGCTTTGAATTCTTTTTGGCTATGTGCCCAGAAGTAGCATTGCTGGAACATATGGTGATTCTATGTTTAATTTTTTGAGCAACTGCTGTACTGTTTTCCATAGCAGCTGCACCGTGTTACCTTACCACCAGCAGTGCACAAGAGTTTAATTTCTCTACATCCTCATCAACACTTAATATGTTCTGGGAGTTTTTTAAATTATAGTCGTCCTAATGGGTATGAAGTGGTATCTCATCGCAGTTTTAATTTACATTTACCTAATGATTAATGATGCTGAGCATCTTTTTGTGTGTTCATTGGCCATGTATATGTCGTCTTTGTAGAAATATCTATTCAAATGTTTTGTCACTTTGTTTTTTTGTTTTCTGTTGAGTTCTGAGAGTTATTTATATACTGTGGATACATATTCTACTGCTTTGTCAGATACGTGATTTGCATATATTTTTCCCTGTATGTAACTTGTCTTTTCATCCTCTTAACAGGATCTTTTGCAGAACAAAAGTTTCATTTTAATGAGGTCTATAATTTATCAGTGTTTTCCTTTTGTAAATTGTGCTTTTGATGTCAAGTATAAGAAACCTTTATATAGCTCCAGATGCTGAATATTTTCTCCTAAGTTTTTTTCCCTAAAACTTTTATAGTTTTATGTCTTGCATTTAAGTCCATGATCAGTTTTGCATAAATTTTTATATAAGTGTGAGGCTTAGATTGGGGTTCTTTTTCTTTCTTATACCTATGGATGTCCAATTACTCCAGCACCATTTCTGAAAGGCTATCAGCCGGGTGTGGTGGCTCACACCACCAAATCCCAATCTCAGCACTTTGGGAGGCCAAGGTGGGCAGATCACTTGAGGTCAGGAGTTCAAGACCAGCCTGGCCAATATGGTAAAACCCTGTCTCTGCTAAAAATACAAAAATTAGCCAAGCATGGTGATGCACACCTGTAGTCCCAGCTATTGAGAGGCTGAGGCAGGAAAATCTCTTGAACCCAGGAGGCGGAGGTTGCAGTGAGCTGAGATCGTGCCACCATACTCCAGCCTGGGTGACAAAAACAAACTCCATCTCAAATAAATAAATAAATACTATTTCTCCACTTAATTCTTTGTGAGAAATCAGCATTTTCTGTTTTGTTCTATTGATCTTGTGTCTTTTCCCCCACCCATACCACACAGTCTTACTGTATAGCTCTGTCATATGTCTTAAAATCAGGTAGACTGATTCTTCCAAATTTATTTTTTCAAAATTGTTTTAGCTATTCTAAAACGATATGTAAAGCTATTCCCTTGCTTTACAAACAAATTTTAGAATGACCTTGTCTATCTCTGCAAAAAATCTTGCTGGAATTGTGTGAAACCTATACATCAATATGGGAAGAATTGACTTCCTTACTATATTGAATCTCCCAATCCATGAATACAATATATCTCTCCATTGATTGAAATTTTGTTTTATTTTTGTCATCGGTATTGTGTAGGTTTCAGCATACAAGTCCTATACATGTTTTGTAAGACACCCAGTTGTTTTGAGCAATTGTAAATAGAATATTTAATTTTTGGTGTTCACGTGTTTATTGCTAGCACATAGAAATAGATTTTTGTCTGTTGATATGATAGCCTGCAAACTTGCTAAACTCACTTGTTGGTTTAGTTTTTTTGTAAATTCCTTGAGAATCTATATAAACAACCATGTCATCTTTAAATAAAGACAGTTGGATTTCTTCCTTTCCATCATGTGCCTTTTGTTTTTTTATTCATGCCTTATTGCACTGACTAGAAGTATCAGCACTGTGTTGAATAAAGGTAATAAGAGCAGACTTGCTTGCCTGGTTCCTGTCTCAGGCAAAAGTGTTCTGTAGGATTTTTTGTGGATGTACTTTATTAAACTGAGGAAGGTTCCCTCTGTTTCTTGTTTTCTAAGAGTTAGGGTTGTTTCTTTTTTTATTACTATGAATGAGTATATTTTGTCAGATGCTTTTTTTGCATCTATATGATCATGTGATTTTTATTAGCCTGTTAATATGATGAATTACATTAATTGATTTTAAATATTGAATCTTCTGTTTTAACTGGCTTTTTTCTGACAACACTCCAGCAGGGAATGATGTAGGGGAGTGGTGCTACCTCATTACTATCTGATAGAAGTCCAGGTTCTCTATTTGGCCTCCTTTGACATCTCGTGGGTGAGGAGCTCCTCATTACTGCTTGGTAGAGGGTGAGAATTCCAGTTCCCCAATGGTTAGGGTAGCCTCATATATGCTGGGCAATAATGAAAGTCCTGGCTCTCCACTAGGCTTCCTCTGATACCACACCAAGCAGGGAGGAAGAAGAGTGCTTCTCACTGCTGGCAGGCATGGAACTCCACACTCCTCTTGTGGCCTTCACTAATATCACCGGGCTGGGCATGACCTCGCTTGTCACCAGAGATGAAAGTTTCAGATCCTTACCTGGCCTTCTCACACATCATCTCAGTAGAATGTTGGAGCACCTTGTTACAGCCTTGGGAGGGTAGAAGTCTAGGAGTCCCACTTGGGCTTTGCTAATGGAGATAAAGCCATAGTTTTTTCTACAGTATTTGGCTGGAGTAGAACTGTCTAAAAGTTTTCTATCTTACTAGCTCAGGCAGAACGTTTTCCTGGTCCTTTGGTTAGAGAAGGTTTTTGTTGGATCTGGTTTTGTCTGCATCCATTGTTGTTTCCAGGTAGCCAGCTTCTTCAAGTCTAGGATATTTGAGACAAGAATATAACCCAGAGAACTCAACACCCTGCCATTCCTCAGGTCCTCAGACTGTCTGGCCATCTTTTCTTCACCTTTCAAAATTTTCTTTTGTTTGTTTTATATATATTATATATATTATACAGGGTTTTTAGTAATTCTTAGCAAGAAGAATAAGGAAAGGTATATCTACTCCATCTCCCCATAGGTAGAACTTTTTCTGATATTTAACAATGAATTAAAAATATGATTGTGGTATTTCTAAATGCATAATTAAAGTTTTATATGCTCACAGGTTGGCTTTTAGGACACTAGTAAGAAAATACAGTTGTGATCTGTGTTACACACCAATGATAGTTGCTGCTGATTTTGTCAAATCTATAAAGGCCAGAGACAGTGAATTTACCACAAACCGAGGTATGTGAAACCCATAGTGTACTGACTTTGTAAAACTTTTTAAATTTATTACAAACTCAACTGTCTTGCCTAATCAGAGACAACACAATTTAGAGATTTGATATTAAAAATTTTAGTTCTTTAGTGTTTAATGTCTCCTAAACATTTAATAAGTATTTTTTAAATGTTATTACTGAATGCCTTGTAAACTATCAGTGTATATATCAAAGCATAAGGTCACTTTGAAACCCTCTCCTCTCACTAGGGCTATTAGAATGGATGCCTGTCACACTGCCTGTGATCTTGTACCATTCCAAACTATCCTCCAAAGAGACCAAAGTGACCTATTGAAAATGTAAAGTTTTCTCTCATTGTTCTCAAAGTATGATCCCCAGACCAGCAGCATCAGTATTATCTGGAAACCTGTTAGAAATGGAGATTTACAGGTGTACTAAATCAGAAATTCTGGCTATGTGGTCCAGCAATCTGTGTTTTGAAAACCCCTCCAGGTAATTCTGAGCCTGTTAAAGATTGAGAACTACTGGCTTCAAGACTAAAATTTCAGCACCTGAGGATAATATCCAGTTTTTCATAATCCGACCTCCGAATACATCTTCTGCAGCCTTATCTTCCTTCAGTTTCTCCCCACAACCCACTGACTTTATCCTTCAAAATTCTTAAATTATTTTAAGTCCTTTAACATACCCTGTCTTCTCACACCAGACCCTCTCTCTGTGGCAAACTATAGTTTATGTTTTTTCATGCAGCTTTCAATGTTTGTAGCCATGAATCCTTTTTTTTGAATCATCCTCTACTCACGTCCTGCCTCCTAAGCACAGGCTCTTATGATGCACTTAATCCTGCTGCATTATGATTTCCTCTCTATGTGCCTGTTTCTTCCACTAGATTCTGGCCTCCTTGAGGGCTGTAGCTATAGAAATAGCTTGATTTGTATCCTCAGAATCTAGTACTGTGTTGGAAATATATTCAACCAATAAATGATTGTTAAATTGAAATTCTGTAACTCTCTTGAGTTACAAAAGGAAAAGCACCTTACATCTCCATAAAGAATAAAGCAAATTCTCCTAAACCATCATAATCCTGTAAATCAGTGGATTGCTATAGAAATCTTGAATCAGTGCAACTAGGATGATGCCCAGAAATCTGCATTTTTGTAAACACCCAGTGAATCTCATGCAAGTACTCCTCAAAAGAAATGCTGAAATACATCTAACAGAATTTATAATACTGACCCAAGGATAAGAAAAGTATATTCTTTAAAACCTAGGAAGCTTTAATACATTTGGCTATATTAAAATTCAAACCTTTAGGCCAGACACAGTGGCTCACACCTATAATCCCAGTGCTTTGGGAGGCCGAGGCAGGTGGATCACCTGAGGTTAGGAGTTTAAGACTAGCGTAAGCAACATGGCAAAACCCTGTCTCTATTAAAAATACAAAAATTTTGTGTGTGGTGGCAGGCACCTATAATCCTAGCTACTTGGGAAGCTGAGGCAGGAGAATGACTTGAACCTGGAACACAGAGGTTGCAGTGAGCTGAGACTGCCACTGCACACCAGTCTGGGTGACAGAGTGAGGCTGTCTCAAAAAAAAAAAAAACTTAAACCTTTATATGTAAAAGCACAAATATACTCAAAGACAAAAAACTGGCAAGAATATTTCTAACACATGATAGATAGCATACTAATTTCTTTATTTTATAACAAAAGGAGGAACTAACGGAAAAATTTTATATAGAAAAATTCAATATGAAGAGAGCTCACAAATTAAAATATACAAATGTTGGATATACGCTGTAGGATAAGTTGTGAGGAAACAAGAACTGTTATCCATATTGGTATATGTCGATATTGGTAAACCTTGGAAGATAATTCTGTGAAATCTATCACAATGTTATATGTTAAATGCCTATTAACAATTCTCCTATGAATTTACTCAGAGAATGTGAAACAGTGTGAAAATACATTATATGGTCCATCTCTACAGTGGAATATCCCACTATAAAGAAAAAAATAGGTCTGAGTATGTCTCCCAGATGTATCAGGAAAGAAAGGAACAGTAGGCATAGTGGTATATATAGAAAGTTCACACTTGTTTAAATTTTACAGGTATACAAAACTTGTTCTGGAATGCAACAAACTAATTCTCACCTTTGAGAAGAGGGTCTATTTTGTAAAAAATGTTAGACTTGTTTTCGTTTATCAAATTCTGTACTGTTTAAATTTTTTACTGAGTGTACATTGCTTTTAATTTAAAACATTTTAAATTGTTTAAGTTTCTTTTATTTGGACAGATGCTTCTTAGGCTAAAAATCGCTACTGTTATTTTATCCTGTATGAATATTAAAGTTTGGGGTGTGTGTGTATGTTTTTTCCTGTGAATTTTAATGTTGAGCTATTTATTTTATCAGGTGATTGCCCATTGATTGTTCAGTTTGCTGCTAATGATGCAAGAGTTTTATCTGATGCTGCTCGTATAGTCAGTCCTTATGCCAATGGAATAGACATTAACTGTGGTTGCCCTCAGAGGTAAAGCTCAAAGAAGTTAGAAGAATTTTCCAAAAGATTAGAAAAAAAACTATGTGAGCATGGTAAAATATCTTTCTAGTTTTTCAGAAATTAAAAAGAAAATAGAGTTACAGCACCAGGGCTCAAAACAAGAAAGAAGAAAATACAGGGAAATATAACTTAGGAATATAAATGCAAAGCTCTTTTCTGATGACTGAAACCATGTATAGACCTTCGAAGGGTGTTTTGTCTCCCCTCACCACTAGAATTTTTATGTGGCTGTGCCTTGAATCTCATCCATAGTAGTTATATGATGAAAATCTAATGTTTTCAGCAATCCCTAAAATGTATTTTTACTGTCTTAACAGATATACTTGCTCTGAAAACAGATTGTTTGACTTAGGCACATTTTCTCCTAATTCCTCTTATAAAAATACGTTATTTAAATCACCTTTTCTTTATATACTACAGTTATTTGCTTGGGTTTAGGTAACTAGGTGTTGATAGGATGTACTTAATTTGACAATAATATTTCTACTGTACTGGCACTATAGTAGATTATCAGTAATTCAAAATATGTCCAAAGAATAAAAGCAAAATCGTTTAGTGTAATCCAAATCAGATTGGACATATTTGTATACTCATTAGGAAAGTTAAATAAGCTGTTTAGTGGTATTGGAATGCTGTAAGCCAAAAATATCTTTCTACTATTGAGACTAATAAAACCTCTTGTTATGTGCAATAAACGTCAAATTTGGAATTTTTTAAATCTGAAGTAATTGCAATTAATTATATCAAATACTTAAACCTGTTTTGCTTGAATGACTTTTAACTTAATATTCTCACTTGTCCTTGAAAACCATTTCTCTTAAGTACTTTTTGATCTGGGAACATGTTTTCCTACTTTCATATTGATCCGCTTAGAATGTTGGGTCTGTGAATTTCTAAAATCTGCTTCTATTCCAGATCATTAGAGAAATGGATGCACTTACATTTCAGTGCTTTCAGAACTTTGTCTTCTCTTCCAGTTATTTGTAATTCACTTGTTCTTGTGTTTGCTTTATAAAGGTGGGCAATGGCAGAAGGTTATGGGGCTTGCTTAATAAACAAGCCAGAGCTTGTTCGAGACATGGTGACACAAGTAAGAAATCAAGTGGAAAGCCCTGGGTTTTCAGTTTCTATTAAAATAAGGTAAAGATAATATTTCAGTCTATTGATAAGATGATTTGTTACTTAGGAAATAAAAGATTATTCCTTTTATCTGATGTTGGGAGTGTCTACCCTAAATAAATTTGTTGCTGATGTATGGAAATGTTGAAATAAGACAGTTAGTAAAAGAATATATAGTATAATTTTCATTTATAGTCCTTAAAAAACTTTGTCTTTGTACTTTTAACAAAAATTAGAGCATCTCTTTATTATAAGTTTAACCAAACTTTCAACTTTTTCCATGTAGTATTTATTTAATATTAAGAAACATTCCTGGTGCCCCATGTAGAAAATAGAAAAAACATTTGCGTTAAAATTTCACAATAAAAAGAAAATAAACCTGGAATCCATTTTTCCGTGACAAGTTGAAAACATATTTCTTTTTTTGAGACAGAGTCTGACTCTGTTGCCCAGGCTAGAGTGCAGTGGCATGATCTTGGCTCACTGCAATCTCTGCCTGCCAGGTTCAGGTGATTCTCATGCCTCAGTCTCTCAAGTAGCTGGGATTACAGATGTGCATCACCATACCTGACTGATTTTTGTATTTTTTAGTAGAGAGGATGTTCCACCATGTTGGCCAGGCCAGTCTTGAACTTCTGGCCTCAAGTGATCCACCTGCCTCAGCCTCTCAAAGTGCTGGAATTACAGGAGTGAGCCACCATGCCCAGCCTGAAAACATATTTCAAGATGAAATATTATGTTCTTCCCTTTGGGAATGGGGGAATGCACAGCAAATATTAAGGTTTAAATTCATCTATGACAGTACTTTGATGGCACTTTCGTTTATCAAAGCCAAAACGTAGAAGCACTAGGTGTAAGATAAAACTTGTTTGTTGTCCTCTGTTGTCAACAGTGAGACAGCTAAATTTGAGGTCTTGGGCAGGAACTGATCCCTGAAGAAAACCTTGCTTATAATGATGAAGTAATGATATAATATAGCAAAGCTAACTAATTTAATAGATAAAATATGAGTTTAGTCAGTTAATGTTAGCATTAAGATTTGTGTGCTGTGAACAGATAAATGTAATTTTGAAATTGTAGGATCCATGATGATCTTAAAAGAACTGTAGATCTTTGTCGAAAGGCTGAAGCAATAGGAGTTTCCTGGATTACAGTCCATGGAAGAACTGTTGAAGAAAGACATCAGCCAGTGCACTATGATTCCATTAAAATAATTAAAGAAAATATGTCTATACCTGTAATTGCTAATGGAGATATCAGAAGCTTAAAGGAAGCAGAAAATGTGTGGCAGATTACTGGGACAGATGGTAAGAAATAAGTACTTGGATTCTTGTCTTTTAATTGAGGGGAAGAAATCAGAGTGGGGAAATAATGTTAATTCAATTTTTATTCATTTTCTTTAACATTAAGTCATACTTTCCCAATGAACTGATTTAAGCTAAGTGATTTATTGAAATGATGTTAACTTTTCTACCTAGAAAAATACGAATTATCTTAACTGGGATAGATTAATTCAGTTACTTTTCTGACACCATCATATCTAATGACCAGTGAAGAATTTTCCAGATAGCCTACTAGTAAAATAAAGCACCTAGAAATGAGAGTAAGTGAACTCAAGAATGCTGAGAGCCAAATGAACCCCAGAACTGCTATGCAGTTTCACTATTCCCTTAAATTACTGGCATGCCAAGCCCTATCATTGCTAGGTGGGAGTATATAGATAAACTGAACTTTAAGCAGCCCAATTTATGACAATCTAGATTTACCCTAAAGAAAAGCCAAAGACTCATTGTTTAAGGAAGAAATCTTTAAAAAATAAAGGTTTCTATAAGTAAGTACATGTAAGCTTTTCTGGTTTACAAAAGGTACCAAAATTAATTATTTTGTAATTGAATTAAACATACTAGTATGATAAAGTCATTCTAAAACCTTGTAATAATACTTTTTAAATAATATTCTGTTTGCTTCATTGAGCTTGAACTAATAACCATGGGTTCTTAATGTATGGACAAATGTGGTGTGTTTTAATTTGTAGGTGTGATGGTTGCAAGAGGACTTTTAACAAACCCAGCCATGTTTGCTGGATATGAGGAAACCCCACTGAAATGCATCTGGGACTGGGTTGACATTGCTCTTGAACTCGGGACTCCTTACATGTGTTTCCACCAACATTTAATGTACATGATGGAAAAGATAACTTCAAGGCAGGAAAAAAGAGTATTTAATGCTCTGTCAAGCACATCAGCAATCATAGATTACCTTACAGACCATTATGGCATTTGACTAGACTTCCCAAATAATTTTAATATATACTTTTTGACCTACAGTGAAACAACAGAACATCATATTTTGTACCTTAAACCAGTAGCTCTCAAATGTTAGTATAAAAACAATCCCTGGGAGCATTTTTTAAAAATCAGTCCTATACTCCCACCCTTACAGATTCTGATTCGGTAGATCTGGAGCAAACCCAGAAATTTACAGTTTAAAGAAAACTCCCAGTGGTTCACACATCCTAATCATCCTACACAAACACTGACAAATACTGTTCTGAATCCTGTTATGCAGATATTTGGGGGATGGGTAGAATGGGAATTTTCTCCTAAAAGAGTCATGTTTTCTCATGTTAACATTTTTAAATAAAATTAATTTTAATACTAAGTATGGCTCATAGTATCTGTAAGTTAACAAGAAGTATGCAGGTACAAAAAAAAGTGGTGGAACAAATATCAACATCCATCCAAAATGAAAAAGAACAAAAAATTCTGGCCAGGCACGGTGGCTCACACCTATAATCCCAGCACTTTGGGAGGCCAAGACGGGTGGATCACGAGGTCAAGAGATGGAGACCATCCTGGTCAACATGGTGAAACCCCGTCTCTACTAAAAATACAAAAATTAGCTGGGCATAGTGGCGCACGCTTGTAGTCCTAGCTACTCGGGAGGCTGAGGCAGGAGAATTGCTTGAACCCAGGAGGCAGAGGGCAGTAAGCCGGGATCACGCCATTGCACTCCAGCCTGGGTAACGAGCGAAACTTCGTCTCAAAAAAAAAAAAAAACAATTCTGAGTAGAATTGCACTCAGAACTTACTAAAAATTCCAATTGGTTAATGACATTACATTTGGTACATTTCCAAAACTTCTAGATCCTCCAAAGAGTGAAAGCTTGATAAATATAACTGCTACCTTAAAAGATAAAATTAACTGCAATCCACCATGTCTTAAGTATAAGAAATTTGGTAGCCAACCTGGAGATGATTATATACTTGAAATATTTCCTAGAGAATAGTAACTAGGTTTTGTTTTTAATTTTAAAACCTAATTTTCATATTCTGTGTTTGATTATGTTATTTTATGCCTCCCAGCAATTGACTTTAAAGTCATGGTTTGGGAGTGTTATTAACAGATTTTGTTATCAGTGGGCATGCACTGCAAGGATTAAGTATCTCAGACTGAAATAAAACAGTTCATAATTAAAGTATTATTTTATATTGCCAACATGAAAACTGTTATAAGGAAAAGATGTAAAACTTTAATTCACATTTGGGAATATTGAATTAATCCATTTTAACATAAGCACTGTGGTGCCATCTTTTTTCTTTTCAGTTAATGCTTTTTTAAAGATAACTGGCTTTTTCATATTCTATGAATACTGTACAAAATAGGTATGGTCAGAACTCTGAATTGAATTATCTTACTGGTGTGAGCACAGCATCATCCCTAGAGTAATGTGCTCGGTGTTTGGAAGGAACCAATGTGGATGGGCAAGAAGTTCTAACACATTTGATTAAAAGGAACTTCCTGGGGTGGTGCCTCACACCTGTAATCCCAATACTTCGGTAGGCCGAGGTGGGCAGATCACTGGAGTCCAGGAGGTCGAGACCAGTCTGGGCAACATGGTGAAACCCCGTCTCTACTAAAAAATACAATTATCCAGGCGTCATGGCAGGCGCCTGTAATCCCAGCCATTCAGGAGGCTGGGGAGAGAGAATCGCTTGAACCCAGGAGGCAGACGCTACAGTGAGCCAAGATTGCGCCACCAGAATACAGCCTTGGCGACAGAAGGAGACTCCAACTCAAAAAAACAAAAACAAAAATGTACCTTCCTTATGGTTAATTTATGTTCAGAGTCTATGTTTTACACTTTTTTCTGTTACATGCGATCAAGAATATTTGTGATAATTAGGAAAAGCACCAACTTAAATGTGTTTTTGAATGTATTATATTCTATAATAATCTATTTTCAGCATTTGTTTACTATTCCCCAGATAATTGTCACCAGGATAGTACTTTTATTTACATTCCTGATACATTGTCAATATTGAAAAAAAAAACTCAATTTAAATGTATACGCACAATATGAAAAGCTGAAAAATAGTAATTAAAAGAATATCAGCATACCCACATTTCCTGCCAGTCCCCAAACACCACCCTGAAGTTTACTGCCTCTTCCTAGCTCACGGATGGGAACAGAACACCTACGGAGTTATGTTGTGATACTACAGTTGCTCCTACCTTCTCCAGAACAAAATGCTGCACGACACCTCATCCTGGCCCTTTATTAAATATAGCTTAATTCTGGACACAAACAGTTCCCACCATAGAGAGAGGACGTGACAGGAAACGAGTGCTTCTTAAAGCACGTTCGCTGAATTTGCACCGGCCAGTCCAGCCCGGTCGCCCGGCGCCGCTCCTTAGACCTGGACCCCGCGAGGCGGCCTCTCACGCGCGCCGCACTTAGCAGCGGAAAGCCTGCCCTCTTGAAGAAGTTGCGCTAGGACCCCCAAGCATCAGGTCAAATGTCTGACTCATTCTTTGACTCTGCTGCCAGTTAGAAAACAATTGTTGCCAATAAACGTGGTCGAGCCGCCTGTGACCTCAGCCGGGACGGGCCCCGGGAGGGAGCGCGGGCGGGAGCCTGCGGGGCGGGAGGCGGGGTGGGGCCCTGTCTAGCCACCAGCGCCTGGCCGCGGCGTCTGACGTCCCGAGCGTCGGCGGCCGCAGAGGAGCCCGGGGAGCGAGGCGGGCCGCCGGCGGGTAAGGCTGGCCGCGACCCGGGGACCTGTGGGGCGCTAGGCCACGGAGGAAGAGCGCCGCTGCCTGGTCTGGGGAACCCCGCGGAACTGGCCTGGTCCGACCCTGGCCGCGGCGCCTTCCGGGAGCGGGAGGGCAGCGAAGCAGGGCGTTGATGGAGGGAGGCGTTGGGCTTCTGTTGCCGGGGAGCGGGTCGCCTCGCCAGTTCCACAAGACTCCCGGGGAGGTGACGACACAGGCTTCCCCGGCCACCCTTTCCCCGTTCCCGGCCGGGGTCCGTGCCGACCTCCCCAGGTGGGGGAAGGTCGGACACAGTCCAACACCTCAACGGAAACGCTGCGCCTCGGGGCCTTGAACCCGGTTTTGTTTGAACGGAAGCTAGATTAAAATAAGTGTTTCCCCATTTAGGTGTGAAGAAAAAAATGACACTCCAATGGGCGGCAGTGGCAACCTTTCTTTATGCCGAAATAGGACTCATTTTAATCTTCTGCCTACCTTTTATTCCTCCTCAGAGGTAGGAAACCTTCAAATCCTTAACAGTTATAATATTGGATTACTCCTTTAGATTGTGTAATGTAAAATGGAACAAAGTTTTCTGAAGATTAAAAAGTTTCGAATGCCTTTGAAAATAAACTCACCTAACAAATTAGGTAGCATATAATGACAATATTAAAATAACATTTTATATAAAACTCTGTTACTTGTACAAGTGAAATAACTTTTTCTTCCCTTCTAAAAGGAAAGGGGCCTATACTTTTGATTCTGTTGATTACAGATATAATAAAGCAGCGATTATTTAACACCTGTCCTGCCTTGTCTCAGGTTTTACCTTTTATTGCGCTGTGAAGCCATGAACTAAATAAATGTAAGTGGATAAATCATGTTTACAGTATTGTATGGGTGTAAAAATGTTTAATTGAGGCACTGGAACAGCAATTTAGAAACCAAAGCCAATAAATTATTCTTAGTTTTGGCCTATGTAACCAAGAAATAGTTTCATTACTGTTTAATGACAATTTTACTACTTTTTATTTCTCATAAAATTAGTGAATGTATATTAAAAGTGTTGAATGTGTAAAGTATCACAACCATGTATTAGAATTGGTTCTTTAGTGAAAGAATTTCTAACGTTTTTAAGAACCAAGTATAGTATTTCTAGCCAAGCACTGGCTCATTTTACCCTTATAATAATCCACTTTTTAGTCATTTGGTTTTAGACCCAGGAATTTCTTTTTTTTTATTTCCAACAAAAATTTTGTATATTATTTCAGTGAGTTGACAGGTTCTTTGAAATTGATCCATACCCTCCGGCAGGTTAAAGACTCACTGCTTTAGAGAAACTTGCGGGAGTACCTGTGGAGCTTAAAATACGTGACCTGTCTTTAAACGGTTCCATGCTAAAGGGCACAAGACCAGTGTGATTGTTTTATAAGGTTTTCCAGAGGATAGGAGAAACTACCAACTATTGAGGCTCAGATTTTTTACGTTTTATGCTGGAGAAATTAAAAAGGGTGGGGCCACAAAACACGAAGTGAACTATACTCTGTAAAAGCAAATTATGCCTGATTCATCTGGTATAATTCTGAGGACATAAATACGCATGTGGGTAAAGGGGAAGCAGTGACGGTAATGGCTCACAGCACACTCCTTGTATCTGATGTTGGTGTCAAGGAGAACATCCTTTTCAGTACCCCTCAGAGACATGCACTACAGACATGGGTTGTTTTTGTGTTCTAGAAGAATACATTGTAATCCTAAAATAATTACTTTTTTTTTTTTGAAAGAAAAAAAAGAGAAAGGGGAAGAGAGAACAGAAGTCTTGCTCTATTGCCCAGGCTGGAATGCAATCCAAAAATAGGTATTAAAAACCTCTTTTATACCGATAATTGTACTTGTCAGCGGAGACAGGAAGGAATAAGGGAAGAAAATAACAAACAGCCAACCAATATTTCATTTAAGTCTGTGAAATGCTATGCAAATGCTGAAGAATGATTTACTTCCAATTATGTGGTCACTTTCAAAATAGGTGTAATGTGATACTGAGAAAAATGTATGTTCTGTGGACCTGGGGTGAAGAATTCTACAGATACTCACTGAATTTATTTGTTGCAGGTCTGAGATCAAATCATAAATGTCCCTGTTAATTTTCTATCTTGTTGATCCGTCGAATATTAACAATGTGGTGTCAAAGTCTCCAGCTATTATTGTGCAGGAGTCCAAGTCTCTTTATAAGTCATTGAGAAGTTATCTCATATATCTGGGTGTTCCTATATTGGGTGCATACATATTTATGATCATTGACTCCTATTGTATTGATCCTTTTACCGTTATATAATGTTCTTCTTAGTTTCTTTTAGTCCTTGTTACTATTAAAGTCTATTTTGTCAGAGAGGAAAATTACAACTCCTGTTTTTCGGTTTTTTTTTTTTGTTTGTTTTGTTTTTTGTTTTTGTTTTTGTTTTTTGCTCTCCATTTGATTGGTAAATCTTCCACCAAAGCTTTGTTTTGAGTCGTTGTGTGTCCTTGCTTATGAGATGGATCTGGATACAGCATACCGATGGGTTTTGACTTTTTAGACCCAGAAATTTGATAGTATGAATGGGGAAATACATATGTAATAAAAATGTT